ATCAAGGATTTGATATTCATTCTGAAACTAAGAATGGAAAGAAATATATGAACATTATTCTTAAGAAATCGGGAAAGCAAAAGGTGTTGGAAAAACTACCAAAACTCCCTTCTGGTCTGCATCAAACATATATAAGTGCCATCGAATCACATTTGGTGATTAAGAGAAATTCTGATGACTTTACACTATGGCATGATCGTCTTGGTCATCCAGGCACCACAATGATGCGAAAGATCATTGAGAACGCACATGGTCATTCACTGAAACCCCAAGAAGTTTATCAGGGGAATAAAATGACATGTACCGCGTGTTCTTTAGGAAAGTTGATTATAAGACCATCGCCAACCAAAATAGATAAAGAGTTACCAAAGTTCCTTGAACGAATTCAAGGCGATATTTGTGGACCTATACACCCACCTTGTGGACCATTCTATTATTTTATGGTAATGATCGACGCGTCGAGTATATGGTCCCACGTTTGTCTATTATCCTCTCGAAATGTGGCATTTGCGATATTTTTATCTCAGATAATCAAACTAAGAGCTCAGTTTCCTGATTATCCAATAAAGAGGGTCAGACTAGATAGTGCTGGTGAATTTACTTCCCAAGCATTCAATGATTATTGTATGGTAACTGGAATAGATGTGGAACATCATGTTGCTCATGTTCATACACAAAATGGTTTGGCTGAATCATTAATTAAACGTCTGCAACTGATTGCAAGACCATTAATCATGAGGTCTAAACTCCCAACCTCTGTGTGGGGACATGCTATTTTGCATGCAGAAGCACTAATTCGGGTGAGACCAAGTGCATATCACAAATATTCACCAATACAATTAGCATTTGGACGAGAACCAAATATTTCTCATCTAAGAGTTTTTGGTTGCGCTGTATATGTGCCAATTGCACCTCCCCAACGTACAAAGATGGGACCTCAAAGGAGGTTAGGTATATATGTTGGTTGTGATTCTCCATCAATTATACGTTACCTAGAACCACAAACTGGTGATGTATTTACGGCACGTTTCGCTGATTGCCACTTTGATGAAAAGTATTTCCAGTTCTAGGAGGAGAAAATAAACAAGTAGAAAAAGATATAAAATGGTGTGTGCCATCTCTACTACACCTTGATCCTCCTACAAAACAATCGGAATTAGAAGTCCGTCAAATTATGCATTTGCAAAGCATTGCAAATCAACTACCTGATGCATTTGTAGACACCAAAATGGTAACAAAATCACATATACCCGCTGCAAATGCTCCTTCTCGTATTGAAATGCTACATGAGCGTGGAGCAGATGATAATACACGAGAGTCAAAAATACGTTTGAAACGTGGTAGACCTGTTGGTTCTAAGGATAAAAATCCTAGAAAACGAAAGGAAATGGAAAAGCAAAATCCATCCAATACAACAGAAAGACCGGAAGAAATGAACCATGAGGTTGATAACAGTGTTGGACATCATGATTCTGAAGAAAATCATGAGATTTCTATTAACTACATTCACAATAGAAAAATATGGAATCGAAATAATGTGAATGGTGTCGATGATATTTTCTCGTACTTTGTGTCAAAAGAAATAAATGAAGAAAGTGATGACCCTGAACCAAAATCTATCTCAGAATGTCAAAAGAGACACAACTGGATGAAATGGAAGGAAGCAATACAAGCTGAGCTTGATTCTCTTAACAAACGAGAGGTATTTGGACCTATCGTAATCACACCTGAAGCTGTGAAACCTGTCGGGTACAAGTGGGTTTTCGTTCGGAAACGAAATGAGAAAAAGGAAGTAATGAGATATAAGGCTCGTCTTGTAGCTCAAGGATTTTCTCAAAGACCTTGGATCGATTATGAAGAAACATATTCTCCTGTTATGGATGCAATCACTTTTAGATTTTTGATGAGTCTTACGGCTAGTCAGAATCTAGAAATGCGTCTAATGGATGTTGTTACAGCATACTTATATGGATATTTGGACACTGATATTTATATGAGAATCCCCGAAGGATTTAAGATGCCAGAACTGTTAAGTTCTAAACCTAGAGAGTTATGTGCAATAAAATTACAAAGATCATTATACGGCTTAAAGCAATCTGGACGTATGTGGTATAATCGTCTCAATGAACATTTAACTAAAGAAGGATATGTAAACAGTCCTATATGCCCATGTGTGTTCATCAAGAAAACGTCATGTGGATTTGTTATTATTGGATTTGTTATTATTGCTGTATATGTTGATGACCTAAACATTATCGGGACTAAAGAAGAGATACAAAAGGCATCTGATTATTTAAAAGGAGAATTTGAGATGAAAGATCTCGGACAGACAAAATCTTGTCTTGGTCTACAAATTGAGCATTCACATAAAGGTATATTTGTACACCAGTCTACATATACAAAAAGAGTGTTGAAACGATTCAACATGGACAAAGCAACTCCATTAAGTACTCCTATGGTCGTTAGATCATTAAATGTTGAAAATGATCCTTTTCGACCACATGAAGAAAATGAGGAGGTATTTGGCCCTGAAGTACCATATCTAAGTGCAATAGGAGCACTCCTGTATCTTGCAAATTGCACTCGACCTGATATATCATTTGCAGTCAATCTTTTGGCAAGGTTCAGTGCATCTCCTACACAAAGACATTGGAATGGGATCAAACATGTCTTTCGCTATCTTCAAGGAACAATTGATTTAGGATTATTTTATCCTAACAACTCAAACGGAAAAATGGTTGGTTTTGCAGATGCAGGATATTTGTCTGACCCACATAAAGCTAGATCACAGACTGGGTACGTATTCACAATTGGAGGAACTGCTATATCATGGCGATCCCAGAAACAAACACTTGTAGCCACTTCCTCAAACCATGCTGAAATAATCGCTCTCCACGAAGCAAGTAGAGAATGTGTCTGGCTCAGATCAATAAGTCAACACATCCTTTCAAGTAGTGGGATCAACGTCANCAAAAGAAGGATACATCAAAAGTGACCGAACCAAGCATATTCCACCGAAGTTTTTCTCATATACTCAAGAACTCGAGAAGAATAAAGAAATTGAAGTGAGATATGTTCGATCTTGTGATAATGCTGCAGATCTCTTTACAAAGTCACTACCCACTACGATATTCAGAAAACATGTTTACAATATTGGAATGCGTCATCAACAAGAACTGTGAAGATCGTCTATTCGAGGGGGAGTTTCTGAGTTGTACTCTTTTTACCTTACTATGGTTTTTGCCACTGGGTTTTCCAAGAAAGGTTTTTAATGAGGCAACAGAAAATAAAAGACAGAAGATACTAATGATACTGGTTTCCAAGGGGGAGTGTTACAAAAGTCAATATCTTGCGTAAGAAAATTAAAATGGAGCCCATATCATTTATTCATCAGAGTATAAATTTGTCGAATTCTTTTTCTCATTTGTAAGTTACGAAAGGTATTACATCTTTCGTCTATCTCTTTCTATAATATGCTTCTTTATGTATCTCTTTCTATTATTCAGTAATATATAGTTATATTTCATAACTAATGAAAAAAAAAATATATATATATATATATATATATATATATATACGTATTATAAACAAAATAAAGTAATATAATTATAACAAGGCCATGTTTATTGGGGATTTTTAAAGGGAAATTGTAAAAAATACCACATTCATAGTACACATTTTCAATTTTACACTAATCACTTTTACCCTTAAAATTTTAATGGGAAAAATACTATTTTATCCCTAACTAATTAACTACAACATCTTCGTCTTCTCCTTCGCCGGAACCAGTCCCCTCACCGTTGCGAAGCTGACGTCCTTCAAGCTTCTCCACGTCACTGGCTCGATTGGTGACCAAACTACATCACAAAAGCTCCAAATCAAGCTTCTCCGGCGAGTCCTTGCTTCACCACCGGTGTATCCGTTTTGTTGTTCTTCTTCTTCAGTGTCTGCGATTCTCTGATCAGATCCGATGAAGGAGATTACTGATTCCGTCGATCCTAGGATCATGTTCAAGCATCAATCCCTTATGCAGGATTATCACGAGTTGCTTAAGGTAATTAGGGTTCTTGATTCTGACTCGGTATTGGCACCAACGCCAACCTATTGACATGAAGCTTCTTATCAAACTTGGCAAAAGCAGTTCTATTTTCCTTTTTAGGTATCTAAATAGCTCAATTGGCAAAGAGGAAAATTTGTGTGAATGTTTCTTGTTCTTAATAGCTAAGTAGCGGCAACAAAATGTATAAATAAAGATTGGTGACTTGTTAAGGCTAACAACTTCACCACCTCTCTTCTAAGTGATCTCTGGCAGTATCTTCTTAGCTTTAGAACTAAACTGTCCCATAGAGGTTGTATTATGAAACAGAGTTCTTCATTCTAATGAGATGCATGCTTGAGTTTACTTGTTACTGTGCTTTTATTAAGTTGCTTGAAACAATACAAAAGAGAGAACTTCATTTTCTACAAAAAGGATGGCTATCACTTGAAACTTTGGTGTACTACATGTTTACAAATCATTTTTGTTTTGGACCTTCTTGGTTATTGCAGTTTTGAAATGGTAATGGTTGTATGTTTGGGTAATTTTGTAGATTCTTGGGTAAAAAAGGATCTAGAACTCACAATTCAGATCGAAAAGTATGTGAATTGATTTGAAATACGTGGACACTGGCCCGAAAATGGATTCGAAGTACATGGATTCTACTTGATAAGACAAAGATCCAAAAAATTTCTAGTATTAACGAGTTTGAAACAAATATATCCGAACGGACCTGAACAATTATAAGTACATGTATGAATCTAACTTTCTAAGACCCAAATAAATCTGGACCCGATAAGACCTGATCCAATAAGATCCGAGGATCCGGATATCAAGACCTATGTCTCACTTTAATTTGGTTCAACTTTTCGGCAGGGTTTCAGTTGGGTTAGATTTGGTTCAAACTAAACCGTCTTTAAAAGTATTTAAATTAAAAACCTGTAATCGGATACAATTTTATAGAAAACGATCGACCCCTTGGCAAATCTCCAGCAGTCATGGATCTCTCACCCATTACGGAAGCTTTAGCCGTCAAATCCTTTGATAAAATCGCCGATATCTGCGACAATCTCATGCTTCAGGTCCCATATTTATCTCGCTATCCTCTAGTTGTTTCTGGTTTTCGTTCGCTCTAGGGTTTTAAAGTGGCATTCGTGAGGATAATCGTTCGATCTTATTTAACAGGTTGCTTCCGAAGGAATCTCATTCCATGATGACTGGCCTTACGCAATCCATCTTCTCGGTCACTTCTACGTTGACGACTGGTCAGTTAAAACCCTCGTCTTTGATTATATTGTGGAATTTAGATTTGCCCTATCTGTTTCCAATTTCAATTACATATCCTCTCATTCAGAACAAAAAAAAAAAAAAGAGTTTCCATTTTTTTCCATTCTGGAGGATTTTTATAAGCTCTGTGCTTATCACATGCCTTGTCCACTGAGAAGAGAAATTAGACAACTTTGATACAGTTTAGCTGTTGTTAAACAGTTTTTCATTTGGGTTTTAGTATCTTCGAAACTAGAGAACTATGATTTTGCTCTTCTTGACTTTGCGCATGACTATTCTTAATGTTTGTTGTTTTGCTAAATCTGAGGTGAAAAATTACTGCAGTGATAGTGCCCGTTTCCTGTGGAAAACAATACCTCCAAGTGTGAAGGAGAGCAAGCCTGAAGTTGCTGCTGCTTGGAGGATTGGTCAGAAGCTCTGGACACGTGACTATCCTGGTGTTTATGAAGCTATTCGGGGTTATGACTGGAGTCAAGAAACTAAAGATATGGTTGCTGCATTCTCAGGTAGCATTGAAGTGTGATTGTTCATCTTCTCTAGTTTAGCTCTGATCTGCATATTGAGGCTGAATAGCTGGGTTTTTCATGTTAGACCCTTACTTTAGAATTTTTGTTAATAGTGTCTCTTTGTGTTGGTTTTGTTTGAAGACGTTTACACAAAAAGGATGTTTCAGCTTGTGTTGTCTGCCTACTCCACAATTACCATCCGCGATTTGGCTCTTTTCCTAGGGATGACAGAAGATAATGCCACAACTTGTAAGCTTTCTTTCTTTCTGCAGTTTCCTCTCAATTCTTGTAAAAGCTATCCTTTTGGGACAATACTACTGTCTCTCTTCTCTTCTAGGCAGTGTGTCTCTATTGTCAACCATTATATGTTGCAGAAAGTATAATTTTATATATTTTTGTTTATCTCGGATACACACAGATGTTTTGGAGAATGGATGGACAGTGGATGCGGCATCTCAAATGGCGACTGTGAAGAAGCAAGCTGTTAAAAGAGAGCAAAAGGTGGATTCATCGAAGCTGCAACGCTTGACAGAGTATGTGTTCCACCTTGAACACTAAACTCTCCTATTTTAGCGAAAACTAAAACGGCCAAACCATATTCTGTTTCAAAGAGACGGCTCTAGTTTCAGTTTTTTTCTTTTTTTCTTTTTCGGGAGACTTACTTCACAAGTTTGTAATCTACAACATGCCTGGTGCTGATATGATGAGCTGATTTCGGCGTTAAATTGATATACCGTATGCTAAACGTAGAATCATCACAAAGACTCCTCTCATCTACCGGTCATGCTAAGAGAATCAAATAATGTTATTTATTTGTCGTGAAATAGAAAACTAAACAAAACCTATGTCGATAGGACGGCACTATGTGTTTTTAGAGTATTCAGTTCACTAGTTGTAACTTAACAACATGGATTATCTTTAATAAGCACTAGCGCCGATATAGTTTTTGTATTGAACTAACCTCCCATCTAAGTAATTAGGGCTGTTATATTACACAATGGTCTGATACTCTGGTTGTTGGGTGTGGAGGTTGAGATGTTCTTTTTACTTGTCGCGTGGGTTCGCTTACGCATGACAAGACTTTTCTCATCCACCGGTCCTGTACTAGACAAAAACAGTTAAAGATAGTCAAGTAGTTAGTCATAATCCTCTACAGTTTGTATAATTTTAAATCATATGATTAAATATAGATAATTGCTTTGCTTGAAATAGAATTCGAATATTTAAGCTATCTATAAAAAACCTTTAGTGTGTTCCTTACTTCTGTACTTTTATTTAAACTTCAACACCCCCCCAATACACTATCTAAAAATGGCCAACTCGGTTAACAGTGGTTGCCGTCGTCCTCACTACTTGATTGTAACTTTTCCGGCTCAGGGTCACATAAACCCTGCGCTAAAGTTAGCCAACCGCCTCATCCACCACGGAGCAACCATCACATACGCGACCACCATTTCAGCCCTCCGTCGTATGGGCGAGCCACCTTCCACCGAAAGCTTGTCCTACGCTTGGTTCTCCGATGGGTTCGACGACGGTCCCAAGTCCTTCGAGGACCAGAAAAACTACATGTCGGAGTTCAAACGTCGTGGCTCAGACTCCCTGAGCGACATCATCAGAGCCAGTCTCGAGCCAATCACCGGCGTCATCTACTCAATTCTCGTCCCTTGGGCTTCTACTGTGGCGCGTGAGTTTCACCTCCCTGCTACGCTTCTCTGGATTGAGCCCGCCACTGTACTCGACATCTACTACTACTACTTCAACGCCTCTCACAACCACCTCTTCGACAAAGAACCGATTAAATTACCGAAACTGCCACCGTTCTCCACCGGGGACCTCCCGTCGTTTCTCCAGCCCTCGAATGTATTACCGTCCGCTCTTGTAACATTAAGAGAACACATCGAAGCTCTCGACTCGGAGTCGAACCCCAAAGTCTTGGTGAACACATTCTCCGAACTGGAACCGGAAGCGTTAACCTCCATTGAGAAACTCAGAATGGTTCCGGTCGGACCGTTGATTTCCTCCAACGACGATTCTTCAACAGGTAAAGCTGATCTGTTCCGATCATCAGACAAGGATTACATCAAATGGCTAGACTCGAAGGTGGAGAAGTCCGTGATTTACGTATCATTAGGCTCACACGGGGACGGTTTGTGGGAGAAACACATGGAGGCGCTCACTAGCGGCGTGTTGGGTACAAGCAGACCGTTTTTATGGGTCGTGAAGGAGACAAAACCAGAGGAGAAGAAGAGTTGTTTCGTGGATTTGATCAGAGGAGATGATAAAGGTTTGGTGGTGGGGTGGTGTTCTCAGACAGCGGTTTTGGCGCACCCCTCGGTGGGGTGTTTTGTGACTCATTGCGGTTGGAACTCTACTCTCGAGAGCTTAGAGAGCGGTGTTCCGGTGGTGGCGTTTCCGCAGTTCGCGGATCAGTGCACGACTGCGAAGCTTGTGGAGGATGTGTGGGGGATTGGGGTGAGAGTGAAGGGAGGTGAGGAAGGACATGTGGATGGAGATGAGATGAGAGGGTGTTTGGAGAAGGTGATGGGAGATGGAGAAGACGCGGATGAGATGAGAAGGATTGCGGCGAGGTGGAAGACACTGGTCGTTGATGCGGCGGCGGAAGGCGGACCATCGGATTTGAATCTCAAGGGATTTATGGAGGAGTGAGACTTCTGATCTTTTTAGTGTTTAAGGATGAGGAGTGAAGATATGGTCTCTTCATTCTTCTCCAACTTTCCTGTGCACTACCCTTTCTAAAAAAGGAAAAACTTTTCTATTCACTGCTGCAAATTTCAGTTTTCTATGTTTTAAAGTTTTAAACATTGAACAATAGTAATTTATCTTACAATTCTAAAATGAGAGGATATGAAGCCATTGTTTACTCAAATTCTGAACTGGGTTTTAGTTTGGGCGAACTTTACACTTTTATTCGGCCCAAAGAAGGTTCATTTTTTCTACCCCTATTTTCTGGTGAAGCTTTTACAGCCGTCTTCCCCGACTTTTCCACTTCGCTTACATCTCCGTTCTCAGAATTTGAGCAATTCTTTATCATTCAGCGGTGATCTTTAATCTCTTCTTTTTTTGTTTCGTTCCACTTCCCCTTGATGCTCATCCTATACAAATCGATGCATCCACTGTTTCATTCCACCCAAATATCCATGCCCATGAAATCGATCGGAAGATCAGTCCTCACCACCGGTAACTCTCCCCATCGTAGCTGTTAAGATTGTAAGTTTATGTGTTATATCCATTGTGGGGATTTGATTTGGATCAGTTCTGTTTTAAATCTTTAATCATGTTCATCGGTTTGTCAACGAACTAACTCCTATTCGATCAGTGAGGGCAAGCTTTAAACTTTTGAGCTGATGCTTTTTACCTACAGTGTACTCAATGTCTAGCTGAAAATTGTCATAAATTCAATCACTTGGATTCGTTTCGCTGGCGAACAATATAATGAAGCATCCTCAACTCGCCATGGCGCGAAGCACAGTAAGGTACACTTCGAAAAGAATATCTGTGTAGAGATATCAAACCTGATGAATTCCCCATGGGCCTAGGCAGGAAATTGAACAAAGTATTCGATGATTTAAGTCGCCATGGCGCGAAGCACAGTAAGTAATTGACTTAGGACTTGCCAAATGTGATCATCTACGAATCCACCAGCATGTATTTTTGTTTCTTTTTGACAGAACAAAGTATTCGATGATTTTAGCCCATTAACGCTCTCAGTAAATAACTTGAGTCATGTAAGATCACGCTGACCCAACTTGAACAAGAGATTCAACGGGCCATATCACAAGTAAAAACTCTACCAGTCTTTTCGTATTAGTATGTACATAGTTAATTATTTATTTCATCAAATGTCTTAAATAACTTTTTTGATTACTGATGCTTATATAGGTTGGGCGTATTCATTGGAGGGTCTCTTATAGGATGAAATCAACAGAAAGGTAGACTGGGTTGTCTCTTATAGGAAGAGACCAACAGCAAGGTGGTCTATTGGTCCCTGCAACACCAGCTCTGGTACGTAACAGTTTCATTTATATGACTGAAAAAAAAGATTCCGAAAACGGAATATATGTGAACAAGTGAGGAAATGCAATGTGAAGCAGAAGCAGTGGTGTTCGATATGGAATACACGAGGTGTCCGGAGGAACAACATAGGCTGTTTACCAAACTAAGTGTAGCGACTCAAGAGCACCGACTCAAGAGCACCTGGCGGAGAACGAGCTTAGGATGTTTGTTGATGTGCGTGGAGAGGAATAGAGTTTAAGGCACCTTCAGCGCAATTTTTTAAGGCACCTTGCTGTTGGTCTCTTCCTATAAGAATTTTGGTTGGTATGTATTTTGTTTGTAGAGTGTAATTGAAGTAATTATTTAGTTCTTCCTAACACAATCTCTATCACCAAAAGAACATAGATTATATTCACGTATTTGTTTTAAAGAGCTGAAAGGAAACAAAAATCAATGTCCTTTTTGTTAACCAATGTAACCAGATTTGTTCTATATTTACTCTATTAAAATAGCATTATTCTTTTTATCTACTAATAAAAGTTGTCATTTAAATTTGGATTCATTCTAGAATGTTACAAATAATATAAGTCATATAATTAATTGAATCGTACTACTTAAATTAAACCAACACAAATAATGTAAAGAGACGACCTTAATGTAAATTACCTTCAAAATATGGCAGGTATCTATGTATACCAAAAACACATATTTTCTCCTACAAATATGGAATGTTCTAAAAGAATATATATCATCAAAATATGGAATATGGAAATCTACTAATTATACTTAAATTAAACCAGTGGTTATTTATGGAATATAGTCTTGGGCTTACTTTTATTTTTTGAACAAACTAGGTGTTCTCCTGCACCATGTGCAGTAAAAATATTTAAGATAATTTTTTAATAGATACAATATAAATTACGTTTAAAATTAAAACTTTATTAATATTATAAATTTTATTTTTTATCACTATTTTAACACAATTTTTTTAATTAAACATAAAAATAATAGAAAAATATTTTTTGTTTATTTTAAATTATATTTATGAATATGCATGTATATATTTAAAATTATAATCTTAGATAGATTTTTTTATCTATTTATTTTAATTAAATATATTAAATAAATTTGTAGAAATTTTATAATTATCAAAAATTAAAATTAGACAATATTTATTAAATTTGTAAATATATAAGAAATTAATAATTTTACGATTAAATTTTAATAATTTTCAAAAAGGTATACATTTTTGAAAAGTTTGTAATAAAATTATATAATTTTAAAATATATAATTAAATGATATTTTCGAAATTTATAATGCCATATTTGAATATATTTATTTTAATGATGATTTATGAGTTATTACCATATTTTGAAAATATATCCAAAAATATAAATCGACATCAAATCTAATATATGAGTTGTTACCATATTTTATAAAGTTTTCCAAATTATGTTTAAAATTAAAATTTATTAATATTATAAATTTTCTTTTTCTTATCACTATTTTAATACAATTTTTTTAATTAAACATAAAATAATAGAAAAATATTTTTTTTTATTTTAAATTATATTTAAGAATATGCATGTATATATTTAAAATTATAAACTTAGATAGATTTTTATCTATTTATTTTTATTAATTAGATTAAATATGTAGAAAATTTTATAATTATCAAAAATTAAAATTAGACAATATTTATTAAATTTTGTAAATATATAATAAATTAATAATTTTACGATTAAATTTTAATAATTTTCAAAAAGGTATACATTTTTGAAAAGTTTGTAATAAATTGTTAATTTTAAAATATATAATTAAATGATATTTTCGAAATTTATAATGCAATATTTGAATATATTTATTTTACTGATGATTTATGAGTTATTACCATATTTTAAAAATATTTCCAAAAATATAAATCGACATCAAATCTAATATATGAGTTGTTACCATATTTTATAAAGTTTTCCATAAATATATATTAACATTAAATGTAATTGTCCATGTCATATTTAATCATATGCCATGTCATCAATTCTATTAGACATGTCATCATTTTTTTGTGAAACTGATTGTAGAGAGGACATGTGACAAAATCACTTCGCAAATAATATATAGGGGATTATATAGTTTGGTTTTGGGAATTAGTATTAAAAAAAAAACTCTAAAAACATTGAATAAACTTTTCACCTTAAAAGATCAAAAAATCAATTATTATTTGCAGACCCAAAAGGTATTTAATATTTTTAACAAAACAAAATTATCTATTATTAATCATTTATTTAAATCAAGTACTTTAAAACATGTTAATATATTTTTTTATTTTAAATAACAATCACTTTGTTTTGATAAATTTCAATGGTAACTTTTAAATAATTTATTGTTTTATTTTTCTTAAATAATTTACTGATTAAATAAATATAAAGCAAAACCAAAAACCAAATCTAAAAACTAAAATCCAAAACCAAAAGCTGAAAACACATATTATATTTTTTGCTTTGTTTATTTACAAAATAAACTATTTCAAATTTTTTTTAAAAAAAAATTGTTGTCATCTTTTAAGTTTTGAATTAGATGTTCGATTATTTGAGATTTGTTTGTTGATAATATTAGTTCAAACTAACTCAGCGGGTTTAAAAATTAAAAACCCAAACCAAAAACTGAAAATGAAAAGTAGAAACCTAAAAACCAAAAACCAAAATCTAAAAATAAAAACTAAAACTAAAAACTAATAAAAAATAATCATCACCACAAATTTAGGTGAACTAATTTTATATCAAAATATTCTTTAAACTAAGACAAAAACCAATTATATAAATTTTTAATCATAAAAAATTTCTGCGCTTTCAAGCGCCGATCAAAATCTAGTATATCGTTAAAGCAGTGGCTTTGAGAAACTAGCCAAAGCAAACAAATTTTAGGTGAATAATTGTTTCTATATGTTTTTCAAATTATTTGTGAAAGATTTCTATGGTCAAATGGCATTTGATATTGCAACTAAAGATGTTTTTATTTATTCTCAAATCTAACACTACAACATATTGTAAAGAAGCCCATCATTTATATTGCTTAGTATACTATATTCAATAGACGAAGATACTCTCTACCTTGGACAATATCTCCTATGTTTTAAGTTAAGTTAAATAGTGTTTGCAAAACTCAAAACTAAATAAAGTTCTCGTAGACAACCAAACCGGAAACACAACTACGTAGCACAAAATATAAAATTAAAATTTTAAGATGAAATATTAAAAATATAGTATAACACATATCACATTAAAAACTGGAAAAGAACAAAAAAAAACATCCACAATTAGCTTCTAAGCAAATCTTTTCCAATCTAATTGCTCATCTAAAATAAAATATAATTACCAGAATTTTTTTTTTTATCAAACCCAATCCTATATATGCATATACCAAATATTAGATCATCAAATCCATCTAGATTAGTAAATCACACAAACTTTGAAACATCATATAATATAATATATATATATATATATATATATATATATATTAAAATAACAGACAAAAATAAAAGAAATCAGTTTGTTTATAGATTATAAATGAATAGAAAAAAATGGTGAAGAAAACACAGAACTATGAACGTTATGAACATGGGTCAATCATAACATCCAAGTACTTCTGATAAAGTAATGGGAAGAAAGAACAAACAAAAAGGTAAACACATACCAAGCAAAATGAACAATATTTTCACCAAATACATAGCCAATAAATTCCTCATTTTAACTGTTATTGTCAAAAAGGTCATCGATTAACTCCTAATTCAAAAACCTAACAAATCATTATCATTATTAACAATGAAGCACTGGCAAAAAAAATTCAACAATGGCATACTACTTATTTTTAAGATTTACAGTATTACCTGTTTTAATTGTATGTCGACACTGCAAAAAGAAAACGAGAATGAACATTGTGGAAACAATCATAATCTTCTTAGCTAGACAAAACGTAATATATTTATCACTTTATTCAATGTTTTGTACTACTTATTGGTGACTATTTTTGAAAAAAGAAATACAGAGGATTGAAGAAAACTGCAAGACTCAATATAAGACCAACATACATAAATTTTGAAGGAAAGAGCAATTTATGAAGTATCAATTTTATAGTTCTTCCAAATGACAAGAAATATCTTCTACATAAATTTTGGGGTCAAACGGATGGTGATCTGCTACGTTTAGCCGCTAACAATATACCCATACAAGAATATTGTGGGTTATATTTTTGGTTTAGCTTATTTAAATTTAAATTACGAGTTTTATCCTAAACCTACAAGTATATGTTATAGGTCAAAAATACATATGAAAGGTATATATGTCTTCGAAATCCATAGCAAAAACGAAGGTTGTTATAGATTTAGTTCCGAATAGGTACACACTAAAACAACAAATAAGTTAGATTGTATATATATATAAAATATAATTAAATATAATTCCACAATTTAGTCAAGAGATACACAATAAAAAAGAAGATATTTATGCATAAAGTTATGAAACAGACTCCTAAAGAAGATCAGATTAATAATCACGGGTAATGAACCAAAATAATTGTAAAAAAATGAATTATAAAATCAAATTATAAAAACTATTATTTTTCAACCTTTTTTAGCGAATCTATTTTACAAGTATTACTTATTAATAATAGTTTATAAAGTTTATAGTTCAAGTTTGGCATTAAACAAATGTTGATCAGTTGATGTCAACCTTTGAAGATTTTTTTGTGACATTTTGAGTCTGGTTACTCTAACTTCATGAAGCGGCTTTTAACTATCCTAAAGAGCTATATTAGATTGAATAAAAAATGTGTATGCTTGCGAAATATTGAAGAAATGGAAGCGTCTTTTATGAAAAAGAGTACATGTTGAAAGCTAAATACACATATAAAAAATATAATGTATTAGTTTTATGGCAAAGAAGTACATAAATATAATCAATATTATTTAATTAAAAATTAAGAATTAAAACTTCTGTATTGTTTCTTAATAATATATACCAAACTAACTGATTCCAAAGTATATTGTGTTAAAGACTAATAATTTTGAAATTTTCAAGCATGTTATTACTCATTAATCAAATGAATCAGTTTTGATATTGGACAAATGATTAATTTGTTTATCTAGGTAAGGTATCTTATAACTGAAAGATTTTTTTGAAATGTAATGT